CCTAGAAATGAGAAATATCTTCACATAGTACTATGGACTGATCTTGAGGATATATACTGTTAACAGAAAAAAATATGGCAGAGCAATGTGTGGACAGTATGCTATGTTTAAGAATGCGGAGAGAGACTGCAAAAGATATATACATATTTGCTTTTATTTTTTTTAAATGTAAGGGCAAATTGTCAATTTTGTCTTAACCCTTAAGGGAAGGGCAGGAACAAGGTGAAGAATGGGTAGCAGGTAGATTTTCCCTAATATATTTTACCTTGTCTTGTTCATTTGAATTTGGAAACATAAACATTTTATATACATGTAAAATGAAATAAATGTTCAAAAGGTAATAATGAAAAATAAACATATCAAGAGCAAAATGAAAAAGTGAACCTATCTATGTAGCTAATTGATAACTTAATCACCTGAAGAGAAACCTGAATATATTCAAACTTCTGGATCTAACTACCAATACACAGGAAATAGAGGGGACAGTGGAGTATGTTAAAAAATACCACAAAATTCAGACTACGTGAAATTCTAGAGGACAACCCAGTTAGTACAATTAAATTATAAGAAAGAAAACAAAAACACAGAAACAGATAGAAGAGGAACCTATAAAGGACAAAAGTTATCAACCAATTACAATAAACAAATTTAATTCAAATAAAATCTAAGAAAAAAATTTAAGAACCAAATGGGGAAATCTGAACATTGATTTCTTATTTAATGATAAAAAGAATTATTGGTGATTTGTTTAGGTGTGATAATGATATGATTGTGCTTCTCAGGAAGAATCTTTACCTTTCAGAAACACATTAAAATGTCTATGTGTATGTATATACATATATGAATGAATGAAATGTCTGTGATTTGCTTCCAAATAATACAAGGGCATGGAGTTACAGACAGAAAGATTGGTCATAAGTTGATAATTTGCTGAAGGTGGTTTATGGGACAGAGTCCATTAAAACATTCTATTTTTGTAAACTTCAAAATTTCCAAAATTAAAAAGAGTTAGCAACCACTTCTAGAACTAAAAACAATACTTCCCTATGCAGGAAAGTAAGTTGCTGATTATTCCTCTGTAATTCTTCAGCATTTATTGTCTCTCCCCATCTTTAGCTATCTTATACAATTATCCTTCTCAAACTTGCTATCACCCTCACAAATAAAAATATGATGATTTTTCCCTGGTGCATCCTATCTTCCACCAGAAAATATATGCAAGTCAATCCTACTGGGGATAATAAAAGAAAGAAAATAAAAAGTAAGAATTTTAAAAAGAAAACAAATGATAGAGCAGGCATTGTTAGGAAAGAGTAAAGAAAGAGAAGGAAATGAAGCCTAGCTAGACCTTAGAAATAAACTCTTACATCCCTCAACAGAGAAAGCTGAGAGCCAGATTTAACAGGCACTGCAGGCTTATGTTTTGGCATGAATTTATTATAAACAAAGCCCTCATCATAAAACTATATACTGAGGAAGGCTAGGCTGAACACATTACATAAATGTTACATTCCCAAGGCCTCAATGGAATCTCAGGAAACTATTCAACAAATTCGAATCAGAAAATCAGAAAAGTACTGAACACTGGAGGAAGAACAGAAAGGGAAAAATAATGACTCTTAATTTTGTATTATCTGCCTGATTGTGTATTATCTCTAATTGTGTATTAAAATAAAACAAATGTAAACATCTCACTGAAACTGAAGTATTAGTGAAGAGCCTAAATTTTCCACAAAGCAAGGGTAGTGTTGCACTCATTACTACAAATTTAACAATAATAAATGGGAAATATGTATGTATTTACACAGTCCTTCACACATTCTCAAATGTACTACCTCAAATTCACTAATCCTATTTTTTGTAGAGACTTAATGCCCATGGTTAAGAAGTGACTTCCATAAATTACTTAGCTTCTTATTATATTTTGTCTCTTCAGTGAAACACAAGCCACTTAAGGCTAAAACAATTTTTTTACCACTTTAAATCCTCTCTACGTATTCTACATAGAGTAGATGCTCAATAAATGTTTGTTCATTTAGCAATTAAAGAAAAACAAAGGAATATATAATGCCAAGAAAATACTCTAAATATAATAAAGCGGCTTCTGCGTATGGAAAAGATATGCCCTCAGGGAGTTTATAATGCCTTCTCTTAAATCTTATTAATATCTTTAAAATGCCATAGTTCGGGGGGAGGGTGGGATTAAGGGGAGGGAGAGCTGTACAAAAATAGCTATTGTTGCTGTTTAACAATCATTTCAAAAATATGCCAGAATTTCCACAAACTTCCACTGACATGAAAAAAAATTTTTCTCTAAAGGCTATTGTATAAACTGAACCGGACCTATTTCTATTTTATATTAGGGAAATATACCTAGATCTATTTATGAATGAGGTAATGATTAGAGATAACAACATACTCAAACAGGCATCAGTACTGAATATACTGCTTATTAATTGGAAAGAAATAGGATTATGGAATTAGCAGATCAAGGAAATAAAATAGGGATATATATTTAAATATCTGTAAAGTTTATACATGGTCAAGCAAGTTAATTTGCAGAATTGCAGAATTTGTTTTAATTTAGCTGGAACCAAAAAAAAAAAAAAAAAGAGGGGGATCGAAAAAACAAAACACAAATAGCAAAGAGTAGGGATAAATTTCAGTATGGATAACAGGAGCATACATCTAATGTCTAAAATCAAGAATTACTTGGAATTACTTAGGTCTTATATCAAACATAATTTTCTAATACACACACACTAAACCTTAAAGGAATACATACCTATAAGTTTCTTTAAAATCTATAAATAAATGAAAACATAGAAGGAAAATTTATGCAAAAAAAAAGTTATTCTAGAAAAACATAGGCCAACATAAGCAACAGCTATAAAAAACAGAATACTAGGAGAAAAGACTAGGAAATAACAAAGAGCCTACCAAATAGATATGTACAGATCACACAGAAACGTGCAACACAGATTATCATAAAAAACAACGCAGTTAAGTGGAATCCTCGTACATTACTGGTAGCTATGCATAATGGTGTAGCCACTGTGAAAAATAGTTTGGCAATTCCTCACAAAGTAAAACACAGAAATACCAATAATTCCATTCCTAGGTATATAACCAAAAGAATACCCAAAACAAATATTCAAATAAATACCTAAATATGAATATTCACAGCAGCACTATTCACAATAGCCAAAAAAATAAAAATAACCTATATGTTCATCAACAAATTGAATAGATAAACAAAATGTGGTATATTCACAGAATGGAGTATTATTCAGCCTTAAAAAGGAATGAAATACTGATATAAACTTCAACATGCATAAATCTCCAAAATATTATGCTAAGTGAACACCAGACACGAAAGGTCACACATATTGCATGATTCTATTGACATAAAATATCCTGAACAGGTAAATCCACAGAGACAGAAAACAGATTAGTGATTGCCAGGGTCTAGAGGAGAAAAGAATGAAAATGACTTCGATGCAGGCAGGGTTTCCTTTGGATGTGATGAAAATGTTTTAGAGTTTACTTTGGATGTAGTGAAAATGATTTGGAAATACACAGAGGTAATGATTCTATAACATTTCAAATGAACTAAGTGCCACTAAATTGAACACCTTAAAATGGTTAATTTTATGTCATGTTAATTTCACCTCAATAAAAATAAATACAAATATCCCCCCAAAACAATGCAGTTCTTCTCTAGTCTACCAATAGTTGATAATGTAGCAATTAATGGTATGTTTCTTCCCTTTTAAGACTAATTCAAACACCCACACCTGACTCCATCTCTTTCTTGGCCCCTCACCCTAATCTACCAAAAGTTTTTTCCTTCTACCTAAAAACATTATCAGATCTACCCTATTCTGACAAAACTTTACTTGATTTTGCTCTGTTCTATTCTATTTCTTTTCTATGCACTATTCTATTTCTTTTTTTCCTTTCGCTGTCAAATTCTCAGGGTTGGCTTACTAGAACCTGAGGCAGCCACATGTTTTTACAAATAAGATTTTGTTGAAATAACTATCCATTTATTAGGCATTAGGCCCACAATAAGGGCAAAGTTAAGTAGTTAGGAGATCCTAATGCCCGGAAACCTAAAATATTTCCTATCTGGCTCCTTATTTAAAAGGTTCATTAATCTCTGGAGCTCCAAAGCATGATATACATTCAATATCATCATTTCATCTGAGGACAAATGAGCACCATGAAAGGTTCTGGAGCAACAGTAAAGTACCATGAATTTCAGGATCACCAGTCTAACAATACTGTGTAGGGAAGATATATTTCAAAAAATCATTTAGGAAACTACTGCAAGAGACCAGGTATTAGACATTAAATGTGAGAAATGAAAGGGACTTTAAGCATCAGATCTAGATGACATGTGACAGAGGAGACAAAACTAACACCAAAATTTCAATCCTCAATGATAGAGCTCTCAGAATTTGCACTGTCTCCTACAGTCAACTATAGACATACAGCTTTTCTGTTTCCTACCTTACAATGTAGTTCCTAAAATCTTAATATTAATTCCATATCCTCTGTGTACCAGTCATTCCCTATGCTTGCTACCTGGCTACCTCCGGGGTAAGCCAAGTCACTTAGGAAGAAACAGTCCCAACAGAGTTGGCTGAATAAGAGCACAGGACCAATGTCAGAAGTGGATGAAGTACTCACCTGTGGTATCAAGCAGAGAGAGAGGGGAAATAATATTTCAGGTCCAGAAATGGCTCTAGCCAAACAGGAAGAAGCAGCTATGAAATTGCTTACAGCAGAAGCAGAGTGTCTTTGATATTCTGACATACTCTTTCTGATGTTCAGACAGATCACCATTAGAGAGCCATTAGTAAGAGAGTCTCATGAGAAACAAGGCAAAAAACAAGACCAAAAGTGAGGAATTAAATGGAGCAGACCCCTTTTGTCTAGAAAAGCAGTCTTCTAAAGATGATACTATTTTTCAAAATGGCCAATATGATACTAACCTTCATTAACAGAGTTATCACATCCCACAAGATTGAGAAGGATATCATCATCTTTATCATCAACTTCACATCCCAGGAGCATCCAGCTTTCCACGTTGTCACTTTCTGAAATGGTGCTCTCTTCCTCTTCACTTGAACTGACCTCTATAATCATAACTTCTCGGATCATACCCGATCTCTCTTCAGGTTGAGGTTTCTCAATATCCCTCTTGTATTTCTTATCATCCAACTCATTAGAATGAAGAGAAGCAGGAGAACCTCGGGTCTTTTCTTTCGCTTGGACTCTAAAATTCTTTCTTCTACATCTATAAATACTATCTTCATCAGACAAAGTGATGACCTCTGACCCATCAGATAGCTGGATGACCTCACTATCTGAAAGGATAATTAAGTTCTTCTGATTTGGCTTACTACTAGATGATTCAGAATCCCCAGAGTTCTTTTCTTCATGTTCTTCCTCCGTGATGACATTGTTAAGATCCTGGGCATAATGAACTTGGCTGTAGAGCTGAAATTCCACTTCACTATCAACACTCAGTTCACTGGATGACTCTTCACGATAAAGGTCATCTTCATATGCTTCTATACTCTCATAACCACCAAACATCATGGAAGGTCGGTAACTGTGATGCTGCTGTAAAAGAGAAGTCATACAAAGAATGTATTTTAAAAGCTCATATCATGCCTGTTTAGTGTGAACTTTTATACAAAAGCCATCACTTTTCTCAAAAATAACTTTTTCTCTTATAGCACCTTTTTTTCCAAGGATTTCTAAATCCAATTATGACCTACTCTAATAATGCCACCTCTCCCAAATGAAAATTACTACCAACAAATGAGTTATAGTTTTTAAAGGAAATGTCGTATTTTGCATATGTTAGAAAGGAAAAACAAGTTGTGATGCACTGCTTCAGACAACAAATACTTTTTCACCAAAATGTTAAACATTACAAATATATTTTAGCTAATTCTTACTATTCCATTCATTCTTCATCTTCTCTTTGGTTCTGGATCTCACCTTTCCAGGTACACATTCTCATACAGGAATATTACTTCAACTATGACTAAAATCTCCAATGGGTAATAATTATACCTACTATTTTTGTGTAGACTTTTATTCTCGTAAAAGTAAAAAATTAGTATCATGGTTTTCTAATCCTTGACCAAAAATAAATTAAAATAGCTGATAAACCTGGTTTACTTCTGTGAAAGCTATAAAAGATATGTATAAAATATAAACTTACTAAGGACCTAAATTGAGGCAAAACTCTTAGCTTTGGGAGAACTTTACACAAGAGGACCCCCCAAAAAAATGGAATTTATAAAAAATTGTGTATTTGTGATATGTTTAAACTTCAGTCACCTTCAAACTACTCTCTATTTGATACAAGACACCTATCAAGATGCTTTTTTTCACTGCTCAAAACAGTTTTTGAACTCACTGATTCTGATGTCTTTTAGTGCTCCTGCTGTTTTTTGTTTCCCCCCTTTGAGGACTTTTTTCATCCAGGGAAACAATAAAAAGTCAGTGAGTGCGAGATCTGGTGAATAGAGAGCATGGTGCTCAGGGTCATGCTGGTTTTTTGGTCAAAAACTGCTGAACACTCAGTACAGTACGGGCAGGTGCACTGATAAATCACCCATCATGAAATGGGCAAAGATGGTGAAAGTCTTCAAAAGAATTTCACTGAAGCCAAACGCGGCCTCTCACAACAATGCCAGCTGGTACACTGAACACTCACCCGGCGGGGGAAGCTTGTACTACAAGAAGATAATTCTGGGGGGTTTGGGGGTCCCCCCCTTATTTTCCAACTGTGCATATTAAATCCTATCATCCTTCAACTAGGCTTAAACATCACTTTCTCAGGGAAGCTTTCCTTGACCCACCAGACTAAATTAAATGTCCCCTTTTGTAGGTTTCCATAGCTCTTTCAAAACACTCACCATATTTCTAATTACTAGTTTAAAGTAAATCTCCCAAAAGCACAGATCACATACAGGAGGAAGACAAGAACTATATGCATTTGGTTAAACAATGGATCCCAGAGGAGTAACTCCTATTAAGCAGGTCTATAAATGTCTGTTGAATTAATAAAGAATCAATAAATGAATAAATCATCAGGCATTTGTTCTTCAGCCCTGATAAATCTAATATGTGCCTAAAATATGGAAATTACGATGGGACAGATTTTGCTGTCGTCTCTAGCTATTCCATAACTATTCTCATATCATCAACCAAAAATCTATACAGTAGATGTTTCAATTAGGTACTGATGGAATACTGCAAAAACAATTCATTTGTTCAAAAACAGGGACAGCCTATACAACAATAACAGTAACAATTTATTATTTTTACTCCCCTTTTAGCTATACAGATGTAATTTAGAAAGACTACACATTTTCTCAGTTTACCAAGTCTCTGTCCAAAATGGCAGGGTGTTTTGATGGTAGGTTTGGGGGCAAAACCAGCTGACTCCAAGAATCAAATAAATAAGAGCCAATAATGGTATTACTGCAATTAATGGATATTTTTTACAGAAATAAAGAAAGCAACTTTTGTTGTATATCTTAAACTTACACAAGGTTGTATGTCAATTATACCTCAATACAGCTAGATTTTAAGAAAAAGATGATTAAATTCTGAATTAATACTGTACTATATACTTGAAATCTGCTAAGAAAGTAGATCCTAAATGTTATTACTGAAAAAAAATAAAAGGAAACATGTGAGTTAATACTGTCTTAACTAATCTTAATATGATAATCATATATTTGTATATCAAATCATGTTGTACAACTTAAACTTACACAATGTTATTTGTCAATTATATGTCAATAAAGATGAGGGGGAAGAGAAACTTTTAATCTCTTTTTTTTTTTCAAAAGGTACATTTTTACCTGTTTCCTCCTTGCACTGTCCTTCAGGTTGCTATCCTGTTGTCGTATTAGTTGAATGTAGCTGTCTGAATAATAATGCTCATAGCATTTATCAGTTTATATTGAAATGTTAGCTCAGAGGAATTCAAATAAAAGATGAATCCTTTCCTTTTTATTTAATAGGTAAATTAATTCTAAGAGAAGTCAAAGGAATTATGTTTCCTTCAAAATCCTCACTGGATCCATCCTGAGGATCCAGTGTGGACTTAAGATAAAACATAATTCTGGTGCAGCACAGAAAAAATTAAAGAGCTAAATTACAGAGTTGCAAATGTGTACTACTCTTGGAGTCATCCCAAAGGAAAGGGATTAAGAATAGAGCCATAGGCACACCTGTGAATGTACGCCAAAAATAAACTACATAAATATAATAAAAACTGACTTCCTTGGGTCTAAGGGTTTATCTCTTTCCCTGAAATGTAGAAAAATGAATTTAACAATTTAGCCCCTATGGCCTTTAAGAGGATTTTGTATCTTCTGCACTTGAAAATTGTGTTCAGCATAACTTGCTCTTCTAATCACATAGTTTATATATGCCGGGGTTAAGGTTTGCCTGAGGCTATTCTGGTTTGTGTTACTACTTTAATTACATTCAAATGCATTTACTTTTTTTTTTAAAAAGTGAATACTCAAAAGATTAATATGAAATATGTCTTGATTCAGAAGGCTTTCTCAGCTTTTTGATGCCAAGCATACTTAACTAGATAATATAAGGTCCCTATAAGAATCACAAAATTTTAAATCTGGTAGAGGCCTTTCAGATTATCTCACACAAGATCCTCAATTTCCATATAAGGAAACTGAGGTCCAAAGAGATAAAGAGCCCTACCCAAGGTTTTGTAGCTAGTTAAGAACATAACTAGGACCAATTCACATTTCGGACACAACAGTGTTCACTAAGACTTTTTTTAATAACCGCCAAGACTTAAAAAAAAAACCAAAAAACTTCCTTCAGCGCTATATTTGAATTGGTTCTAACACCTAAATTTACTTCATGAATATCCACTTTACTTCCCAGTGGAGTATAAAAACCATGAAAGAAGCATTTTAATTGGAGGGCAAAGCATAGATATGAGTTTGTCAGTTTACCACCCAGGAGGCCTCTCAAGTTGGTGCTAAAAAGAGTATTGCAATTCCATGACCAAAAAAGATTTAGGTTATGTTAAGGAACCAAAATATTAGTTTGGGAATGAAACCCACCTAAGCAATTAAAATGGCTTAACAAACATAAAACAGTCAAAGAGAATAACTGCAAAGACTGAACATTCAAAAGAGGGAGCAAATATAAAAAATAACAAAAGTGGGAGAAGTATTCACTCACTGAATTTTTAAACTAAACAATTGAAGACTTAAATAAGTTTTTGAATTTTACTACACAATCTTTAAAACTAATAGTTCTGTTCTAACAATCTACCAGCTGATCATTCTGCTCTTATTTCCTTTCAAAGAACTTTTAGCCTACATATTTCTTCTTGGTAGCAGAGGTATCTATCCTAAGATTTAAATCTGCAACTTGATTTTTAAACCCAGGTTTCATTGGAAAGTGACTTAATAGAGTTTATCTTCAACTTCAAAATCTGACTTATTTTCAGTAAGCTCTCCTGACAGTGACAGATTTTAAAAACTACTAAGTTGACTCTAGTGTTAAGGTATCTCTCCATTCTTCAGATGTCACTTTCACTTGAAACAAATCTGACTGGAGTAGAGGATCCAAATGTGTGAAACGAGTCACAAAAAGAGGGAGAATACAAGATATTGATGGAAAAAATTATGCTAACTTTATTCAGACAAGCCCAGCTGTTCTTGGGATACATAAAGTCCTCATGATATAACTAATCCTGTCACAAAGCACTTCCTTCACCTTTCCTTCATCTCTTTTTCCTTTTGCAATGCAGTACTACCCTTGTAACTACCTTAACAACAATGCTCACTTCCATTTCTTCCTCGGTTCGTTGCGTACCCTCAAGACCCTCTAGAAAACTGCAATAATGAATGTGCCAAAAGCATAACGGTGTCGGAAGTAGACACACAGTCAGCCCACATAAAACTCTTTGGATGTGATGGCCTAAGTATTCAAAACAGAAAGTCGGGTTTTGGAAGGGACTTGAGTTACTAAATTGAAGGCTCTCCTTTTCTAAACAGAGAAACTTATTTCTCTGGGGCCTGGGAAACTTACTTATTCTTTGAGCCTGAACGATCTAATTCAACCCTGTCCCCTGAAATAAGAGCAAATTGGGTCCAAAGATGAGATTTCTAGAGTCACCAGCTAATCTGCGGTAGAGCCGCCGCAGCTACACCTCATGCATGCTGAGTCCCAGCCAGTTTTCCAACTGCACCAGCAGCTCTTCCTTAAAGTTGAAGTTCACTGCAAGCTCACGAGATGTGAGGGATAAAGGGAATCTTAGCGAACAATCCACATCTCCCCGTTTTACATAAGGGGTACATCTCCGAAAATTTTTCTGGCCCTGCAGGTACTGCTTCTAACAACAGATGCTAAAGTTGGCCCAAGACTTAGATTCTCACTGGCCAGGCCCCATCAAGGTGCGGCGGCACCTCCGCGTTCAACTGACTGACCGGCTTTCCCAAAGACGGGAATCTTGGGAGTAGTGGAGGTAAAACAGGCAAAACGGCCACCCCCACCGAGGCCACGGGCGCCCAGCCCTTTTCGAACGACCTCAGCCTTTGGCCCGGCAAGGAAAGACGGACATCCCAGCTGGTCAGCTGAGCCGCGTGGGGCAGAATCGCACTGAGGGGCCACGAACCGCGCGCCCTCTACGAGTGGGGGACAGACGGGGAACGCCGAGGCCGGCGAGGGAACACACACTAGTTCCACAGCCCGGCGGGCGAGGCGGAGGGCGGGCAGGGGTCCCGAGTCACGGGCGGCTCGGGGTCCGTCACACACATACTCACTGCCGCGGCTGCGACCGGGAAGCACCAACCAGGAACCAAAACGCGTAGAGGGACGGGGAGGGGCGAGAACAAATGAGGTAAGGAAAACGCGTCCGCGCAGACCCGGGAGGAGGGAAGGCACTTCCGGGGAAAACACAGCTCCCGGGAGTGGTCTTCCGTCCCCGCCCACCCTGCGGGCTCTCTGTACGCATGCGTAACACCTATTAACCCTTTCTTTCCCCGCTAATAATCGTTTGGTTTGCTTTCCTTGCTTTTCCCCTTTTCCCTTCACTGCTTCTTTCAAAGATACGTAGTCTGCATCTATAATAGCGGACACTTTGTTTGAAAGACTTGCGCGGAAGTGATGGTACTTACCTGGCAAAATCTGGCAGGAGCTTGCATCCTTATGTGCGCGCGAGAAAAACTACACCTCCCGTGATGCTGCGGAGCGGGTTTCAGAACGGGCTCCGCCTCCTCCTCTCTCGATCTCACGGGTCAACCTGTATCTTCTGGCATGGGATCTCAACCGAGGCTGGCTATGGTCAAGGGCCCAAGCGGCGGGCGGCTTACCTGGCAGACTCAGAGACATCCAGCAAGCGAGAAGCCTCATCTAGGGCGCCTTGCATTTAATTTCTCCTGTGCGCTAGGTGACCTTAGGCAGGTACCTTTCGCCTCTAGTTTGAAGTTGAACTTACTTAGTTCACACTGGGGTGCTTCCGGCTCTGTTTTTCTTACAAGGCCACAAGTGTAACTCTTAGTGAACCTTGAAGAGCTGTACTATTGGCTAAAGAATGAAGTGAATACTGGTTCTTTGGAAGCTTTCAGAGGCTACATGATTGTATTGGTAGACTCTAGCTTCGGTTCCTCTTCTCACACTTTATTTTAATACTTAGTAATAGTAAACGCATCTGTAAACCCATCTGTACAACTTCACGAATAATGAAGTACTTTATCAACCCCCTGGCCCCTGACAACAGTCAGGAAAGACAAGTTCGACATTGGTTCTTTTGGCCATGTATTGAACATCTGTTAAGAGGCAGACAGTGCTAGCAACTGTGGATATAGCGGCAAATTTTTAAAGTCTCTGATCTCATAGACCTAAGAGTCTAGCTGGGAACACAATATACAGATAATTTGGTTATAAGTCTAAGAGTTTGGCCAGAAAAATAATTAGAAATTTTAATTAAAATTATGGTAAGTGCTAGGAAGAAGGACAGGTACAATGAAAAGGTAAAACTGAAAGACACATTTTGCAGAGGCAGAAACAACTAAAAAATGGGTCGCAGATGACTGCTTAAGTAGTGTATATTGTGTAGAACAAATGTTACATAAATAAGATACTTTTTTGAGCTTTTACCAAGTGTCAGGTTGATTTTTTTTTAATTCCTATTTCTTGAAAAAGAAATAGAACAGAGAAGTTAAGTTGTCCAAGGCCACAGGTTAGAAAATGCTCCAAATTATTGTGCCCAATCCTCCCACTTACTCATGCATTCAACCAAGGTTTACTACATTCCCATGTTCGGACTACTTCAGTCGTCCCCCTTTAGATTATTTCATAAAGCCTTTGGATGGCATAAAGGGCAATTCATGAGCTGAAGCTGCCTTCCTGTTCCCCACCATGCTAAATCATGGGAGTTTCCAGAACACACTATGCTCTCCCACATCTGTACCTTTGCAGAAAGCATTCCCGCTCCCTGTGAAGTCCTTCTCCCTGGCCATCTAACATACACTATTCACACTACTTACCTTACTACCTAAGCCCTGGGTCTTCAAGGGAAACTTTCCAACAGAACAGGCATTTCTTCCCCTAGGCTCTCCTACCCTTTGGGCAAACCTCCATTAAGGCAATTATATAGTGTTTATGTTACAGTTGTCTCCCAGCTAGATTGTGGACTCCCTGATGGCAGAAACTTTGGCATTTTTAATCTTTGCATCTTCCACAGCTAATACAGTGCTTGGCAGACAGTGAGGACTCAACAAAAGTATTAAAAGAATGAAGGCACTCTAACTCCATGTAGGCTGTAGGAAACCAAGAACCAAATGTGAGTTCAGTGTGGAAACCATGTCCTAACCCCCAAAACTAACGCAGTGTAGTGCTTCATGACATTAAGGTGGGCATAAAGAGCTGTAAGAGTCCCAAAGGTAAAGAGATTTCCAAGGTACATACATGCACGCCCTGCCTTTGCATGGTGAATTCTCATTTAAATGGCTTTTAGAAATCCTAAGATCCAGTCTCCTATTGCAGTGACCAGGGAAACTGAGGCCCAGAAGGGAAGATGTGCCATAAGTCACCGAGCAGAGGCAGAGTCCGAGCAGAGGCAGAACTGTGTCTGCAATCTAGGTCAAGTCTCTCCCTTTGAGGTTGCCACACACACAGTATTTCTCTTTCCACCTCATGCTGTCTCCGGTCCGCACTTCTTGAGATCATGGGTGGCAGCATGCACAGCTGTCTTGAGTCCTGCCTTACAGAGAATGTTCTAATGAGCCCATTTATTTGAGGAAGGAAGCACCTGCTTTCCCCAGGGCAGTGGTAGTACTACGTCAACGGTGAATTGGGGTGAAGGCCAGGACAAAGTGGCTTGCCTTACTACAGAGGGCAGACAAGATGGAGGGTGTCCTGTAGCAGGGTCTAGGCAAGTGGCACACAGCAGTGCTCATTCCTTACCCTTCCACTACAGAGAGAGGAGCTACCTCCTTTCTTTTATTCCAATTTATTAGTAGTACCTAGAACCTCAGAACTAAGTAATCATTTTCACCTCTTAAGAGTTGCTTTTCAATTACTATTGGTTCACTGAGGGATAGCTATGTGACAGGTTCTTGCTAGTCACTTGAGATATATTGTCTCTTTCCCGACCTCAAAATAACTCTGTAAGGGAGATATTAACCCATTCCACTAGTACAGAAGTTGCTATTTGACGAGGTCATGTGAGTTCTTCTAAATCACACATATTTAAACCCAAATATTGTCTGAATCCAAAACCCATGTTCTTTTCCAAGCCCAAAGCTGCCTATCAAAACTAAACTCCTTGAACCCTGGCTGATTGGCTCAGTTAGTTGGAGCATTGTTCTATACACCAAAAGGTTGCAGGTTCAATTCCCAGTCAGGGCACATACCTAGGTTGCGGGTTCCGTCCTTGGTCCGAGTGCCTCTTGGAGGGTGGGAACTATGACGACCTGTTCCTACCTCTACACCCATCACCTAGCTCAAGGTCAACCCATCATGAATTCACAGAGGACACTGTGGAATGAGTGGATTCAGTATGAAATGTCTGTCCAATGAAGGCCTGCATGCCATATGAACAGTGTTGTGGGAAAGCAGAGGAGGGAGCAGCTGGCTGCGAAGGGGAAGTGGAAAAACTCCCTTCTGTCGAGGAGGAGGCCAAATAAGTAGTCAGAAAGAAAAAAACTAACAAGCTGGCATTCTAACAGCAAAGAACACCAACAGGCAATTCACAGAAGAAACCCAAAAGGCTGTCAACTATGATAAAGAGGTGTTCAATGTCGCAAATACACAGAAAAATGCAAATGATCTCATACATGGTGATCAAAGGAATACAAATTGGAAAAGCCTTTTAGGGGAGCTTTTTGGTAGTGTCTATCAAAATTGTAAATGACCTATGTTCTATGTGTATATACAAATTTAGTTTGTGATAGACAAATGGAAACATCATAAATATTAATTGGGAATAAAATAAATACGGATACATCTATACTATTTTTAAAAACTGCTTTTAAAAGAATGACATGAATCTGTATGTATTAGTGGAGAACAAATTCCAAGATATAACAGTTAAGTGAAAAATTGTAGAGCAATAACATATTATGTACTCATTTTTGTTATAATTCTAAAGGATACGTGTGTGTCCATATACATATGTGTTCAGATATAAATGCATAGAGGAAATACTGGCTGGATACCAATCGATAACCTCTGAGGAGGGAGTGGAATTGGAGGGGGATGAAAAAGGACTTTCACTTAAACAAAAAGTGAGATGTAATTCATTGAGAAGAATACTGCATCGCTGATGTGATATTTCTACCAAAAGCTCATAACCTGGGGTAACTATCAGACAAACACAATTGAAAAACCCTATTGCTTCAAAAATGTCAGTGTCATAAAACACAAAGGAAGACTGGGGAATTTTTCCCTGCTAAAGGACAACAGTAAAAGAGACATGATACGTAATCCATGCTATGCATAACCTGGGGTTTTCTTTTGTCATAAAGGATATTATTGGGACAATTGGCAAAATACAAATAAATCTAGTGCTGTATTGATGTCACTTTCCTGATTTTTATATTACAGTTATGTAAGAGAGTGTGCTTTTTTAAGGCTATACACACCAAAGTACTTGGAGTGAAAGGACATCATTTGAAACTTATTCTCAGTGGGCTCAGGGGGGAAAAAATGTGTTGGAGGAAAGGAGAAGGAGAGGAAGAAGATAACATAAATGCGGTTAAAAAGTGAACATTTGGGGAATCTGGATCAAGGCATATGAGAATTCTTTATACCAATTTTGCAATTTTCTCTAAATCTGAAATTATGTTAAAATATAAAATTCAAAGGAAAAATTTTTTTAAATGAGTATGAGTTTTCCAGACAGAAAGAGCAAAAGAATCTTCTGGCCAAAGAACAAGAGAAGCAAAGGAAAATGACAACAACCAGTGGCTCTGAGTGTCAAGAACATAGCATGGTGTGGGGAGAAAGGGAGATGAGGAGAAATGATGAGCAACCCAATTCACAAAATGGACACATGTCCCTGCTACCTGGTACTGCAAAGGAAGATTTAAAGGCTTCTTTATATCCAGCCTCAAACCCTACAAGAAAAAAAACTTGCGTTCTGGCTGCCCAATGATTTCACTGGTAGTTTCTCTTTATCATTGACTATAGAATAATGACTGAAGAGGCATCTGGCACAACTCCTTCATTTTTCAGAGAGGAAAAAAATCTAAGGCCCCAAATAAAGAAGGTACTTGCCAAGTCCCGGCAAAAGTTAGTGTTAACACTGGCTTCCAGTTCACCATCCATCATTCCTGCTGTGGCACCAAAGTCTTAAAGATTGAGGCAGAAATGGGGGCTGGCAAGTGAAATGACCAAATGCTACCCTTTAAAGTTTGGATGTTTTTCATTTGC